GGCCAGAGCGCCGCCCTGCTGGTGAGATGTGGGCGCCAGGCCCTGCTCCTTCAGCTTCTTGACCGTCTCCGAATCCGTGCGCAGATCCCTCTTAGTGCCCACCAGCAGGATGGGAACGCTGGGGCAGTGGTGGGTCACCTCGGGGTGCCACTTGTGCCGCACGTTGGCGAAGGACGAGGGGCTGCCGATGGAGAAGCAGATGATGAAGACGTTGGTCTGTGGGTAGGAGAGCGTGCGCAGGCGGTCGTACTCCTCCTGCCCCGCCGTGTCCCACAGGTTGAGGCTGACCGTACGGCCGTCCACGCTCATCTGAGCACTGTAGTTGTCGAACACGGTGGGGATGTACTCCTCGGGAAAGGCGTTGGTGGTGTAGGAGATGAGGAGGCACGTCTTGCCCACCGCCCCGTCGCCCACCACCACACACTTAATAGTCTGCATTCTGCGTCCTCACGGCAGTGGCACCTGCGGCCAAGAGCAGGCTTTGAGACAGAGCACGAAACAGACTGATGCATTCTGTACTCTGCTTAACGGGATAGTTCACCCAAACATGATAATTAGCCCATGAATTACTCACCCTCAAGGCATCCTAGGCGTATATGACTTTCTTCTTTCAGACGAATCCAGTCGGAGTTATATTAAAAATTGTCTTTGATCTTTCAAGCTGTTTAATGCCACTCAGCGGGTGTTGCATGCATCAGTCCAAAAGAAGTGAAATAAAGCGCATGCATCCATAATTAAAAGTGTCTCACTCGGCTCCGAGGGGTGAACAAAGGCCTCCTGTAGCGAATCAATGCGTTTTTGTAAGAAAAATATCCATATTCAAAACGTAATAATCACTTTAATGTAGCTTGCGCCAGCAGTTGTACACAGAAGCAGTTCCGGGGTTATGACGTATGAGGTCAGCTTTGCGCCGGTGAGTCTCGTGAAAACCAACGTTTGTTAACAGGAGCAAAGGAAGCAAAGTTTCCTTACTTTAGTAAAGGAAAACCAGTCTCCTCTTGGCTTATATCCAAATCCTCTGACATTCTTCTTTACAAATCCTCGTTTTGTACTTCTAATTAGTGACCGTTGTTTTGTTTTGATCTCTCCGCTGCGCTTCCGCGTGCGTCACTTCTAAGCGGCGCATGCGCAACGCTGACATCGATTCGCTACAGGAGGCCTTTGTTCACCCCCCGGAGCCGTGTGAGACACTTTTTATTATGGATGCATGCGCTTTATTTCACTTCTTTTGGACTGATGCATGCAACACCCGCTGAGTGGCATTAAACAGCTTGAAAGATCAAAGACAATTTTTAATATAACTCCGACTGGATTCGTCTGAAAGAAGAAAGTCATATACACCTAGGATGCCTTGAGGGTGAGTAATTTATGGGCTAGTTTTCATTTTTGGGTGTACTAACCCTTTAAAAAGTGAAAAGCACCGTTTCTACCAAAACAGTTATTATGACTATGATAAAAAAACTCTTGTTATTTGGTATCAGCACTTTGTTGTCATAAAAAAGATATTATCCCGTGTGTCGTGTTGAAAATCCTCCACCTTATTTGGTGTTTCAGGTCAGAAATGTCCAGCCTTTTAAACTGCTTGAAATCTCTCATTATGCTGCATTATCGTGAAATATTGGGCTCTATATATTTGTCAACACATTTTCTTTAAATTGGCACAGGTTTTGTAGTTTTTATTTATTTATTTTTGGACCTGTGCTAATTGAAAGAAAATGTGTTGACAAAAAGATTGAACCCAATATTTGGTAAATAATATTGCATAATGAGATATTTATAAGCAATTTTTTTGTAGGCTGGTCATTTTTGATTGGGAACACCAACAAGTGTTACAAGGTGGGAAAAATCCCAAAAGCATAAAATTATAAATATGTTAGGAAGCTGTTATTACCTTACGTGAGCAAAGTCAGTATGTTTTAGTCTAATGTGATAACATTAACTAGCATTTTCAAAAAAAAAAGAAAAGAAAATCCTCTCTGGGTCAAAATGACCAGAACACGACATGAGGGTTCAGCAAAGTAACAAATATTCTGAAAGCTTTTTCAATATCACATATTAATTTCTTACGAACAATATGAACAATAAACGGTGTAAGTATGGTATTTCCTGCCAGAAACATGGTGATTAAGTTCTAACTTTAGATGTATTTGTGCTTTATTATGAAGAATTAATAGAAGTAAAGGGTTTACACTAAGGAAATCAAATTGACCTTGCGTTTCAAATCACAGTAAAAAGAAATTCTGATTAAAAGTTTACAGGATCTCCGCTGGTGCTGCGATCATAATTTGGAACTAAACCCAAACGATCATGATGGGAACAAAACAATACACTGCTGTTCAAAAGTTTGGGATCAGTAAGATCTGTAATGTCTCTTCTGCTCATCAAGGCTGCATTTATTTGATCAGAAATACAGAAAAAAAAACAGTAATATTGTGAAATATTATTGCAATTTAAAATAATGGTTTTCTATTTTAATATACTTTAAAATTTAATTTATTCCTGTGATGCGCAGCTGTATTTTCAGCATCATTACTCCAGTCTTCAGTGCCACATGATCTTCAGAAATCAGTCTAATATGCTGATTTATTATCAGTGCTGGAAACTATTTTGCTGCTTAATATTTGTTTATTTTATTTTTTTTGGAACCTGTGATACTTTTTTTCAGGATCCTTTGATGTATAAAATTTAAAAATAACAGTGCTTATTTAAAATAGAAATCTTTTCTAACAATATAGGCCAAGTCTTTATCACTTTTTATCAATTTAACACATCCTTACTGAATAAAAGCATTAATTTCTTTAAAAAAAAAAATAATAATAATAATGACCCCAAACTTTTGAACTTTTAACTTTTTAATAAATGCTGTTCTTTTTAACTTTCTATTCATCAAAGAATCCTGAAAAAAGTATCACGGGTTCCAAACAAATATTAAGCAGCACAACTGTTTCCAACATTAATAATAAATCAGCATATTAGAATGATTTCTGAAGATCATGTAAGACTGAAGACTGGAGTAATGATGCTGAAAATACAGCTGCGCACCACAGAAATAAATTATATTTTAAAGTATAATTACAACAGAAAACCATTATTTTAAATTGTAATAATATTTCACAATTTTTTTCTGTATTTCTGATCAAATAAATGCAGCCTTGAGGAGCAGAAGAGACTTTAAAACACATTACAGATCTTACTGATCCCAAACTTTTGAACAGCAGTGTATAATTTAGGACTGTTTCCAACAGAGATCCAGCGCCAGGAATCAGAAACCTACATCAGACTCTCAGGTGAGTGAAGTGTCACAATCTCTCTGTTATTGCGGAAGCTGCTAATGCTAGCCGCTAGATTAGCTATCAAACACTTAAGTTAGACAACAAGTCTCGTATTCATATTTAAGTCCTTTACTTAACATAACACATGCTATTAACGATGTGTTAATGTAATTTAACAAGTTACTTAATTTTGGAAACAGCCTTTTCAGACTGACATTGCTTGGCTGCTATTAGCGGTGACTGTCCAAACACCCGTCTACACATCACACGACGCTAAAGCACAACTTATCCGTTATAATAATCAAAATATTACTATAATCAGTAGTTTACTGTACATTGTAATTACGGTTCTTATCGTTATTACGGGTAATACTGTTTTTGGTTTCACTACTGTAGTGTGTGTAAGGATGCTTTGCTAATTTATGTAAAACAGTCAGGCCACGAACGCACTTTTCATATAATAATAATAATAATAATAATAATAGTCGCAGGCTGCAGCGTGAGCGCTGTCGTTTTGACGCGTCGCGCTTCAGTCACACGTTATCAGACGCGCCCAATGACAACAAGTATTTCCTGTATTTCTTTCACACCCGTAACTTGTGTTTTACACAGAAAACGGACATCAGAGCAAACGCGAGTCTTCGTGTAAGCCATAACGCGATGATAAAACTTATGAAACGAGTTTTTAGACGTGCTCACCGCCTCTGAAGTCCTCGCGCCTCTCCGACCAGCGCTCAAAACCGCGCTCGCGCAGACTCTGATCCGCCGGAAGTCGCAGCAGCTCCGCTTCAAAATAAAAGCTCATTCTTTCTCGCGAAAACCTTGTTAGGGATCATTTCTGCGGCTCAGGTTTGAGTGTTGCGTTTGCGACATACTGGATAACGCTCATTTAAATAATTATTAAAAAGGACCGCCCAATCGGGAAACCGGGGTAATAATATATTTCTCTGTAAACACAGATTTGTTTTCATGCTTAGACGCGAGATATAAACTCGCTATTCTACGAGTCTGAATTGTGAGATATAAATTCTGTGTGAAGAAATGTCCAAACGGTGAAATATAAACTCGCAATTGCAAGAAAAAAAAAATCGCAATTCCCTTGTTTATTCTTCTTTGCGCGGCGGAAACAACTGAAGAATTGTCCGAATTCTGAGATTATATCTCGCGCTTCTGACTTTCCCCCTCAGAACGGAGTAGAAAAAAACGTTAAATTGTAATATATAAACTCAGAATTGTGAAATAAAAAGTTTATTCCGTGACAAAAAATAAAAAAAAATTGCAAGAAAGTCAAAATTCTGTTTAAAAGTTAAGAATTTTAGGCATACTAGTATCATAAAATTAAATGTTCAAAAATTATAAACAATTATTTTAAAATGGCAACTGTATTATTACAAAAGTCATATATTTTTGAGTTATGAATTATTATATTGCATGCAAATATGTTGTTTATATTAAAATATTAACTTAAAACCTCAAGGAGTACTTAAAGCAAATATTTTACCTCAAAGGGCTGACAAAAGGGGTTCATTTAACCGGTGCTTTTATCCTAACGCCAAATGTCAAACACCAACTGATTACACAGAGCAAATAATGTTGATCATAACCCACACCTGATGTTACACAGTTATATTAGCAAGAAGCACAAGAAATGCAGTTATGATCCTGGAGCTCCTCCAACACGGAGACATTCAAAACCTGTTTTAAGAGTTTACCTGGAAAACACACAAATACGAGTTCAAACACAATTTTATTATAAAAGACTGCACTGGAATATTACTCTCTTTAAGCCTATTAAATCATTCGATTCCAACATTTAACATCTTCAACAGACATCGGCCTTTGTACAGAGAGGCGGAAAAAGAAAAGCAGAGCGGAGATTGGGATTGTTATGAGACAAACAGAACGTAATCCTTCACAATCATAACACATAACATCACTGATTTAAATAAAGCCAGCTGAAATCACTAGTAAAGGTAGATCAGATTAATTCACCTCACCTGCCCTTTACAGTGTACTTTAAACAAGGACACGGAGCCGTATTGTTGTAGAAGTGCGCTCTATATAAACCTGCTTGATTCTCAATGCTGGTACGATCAGCCAAATTATAATCAATTCCACATCATATTGTTGAGTTATCTTTCATAGTTTCATCCTCTCAGCGCAAACATGTACACGAGCTTACAAGATGGACAGAACAGATGTCATTTAAATATGAAACATTGGTGTCTTGAAACAAAGAAGTCCTGCTTTTATGAACACTCGCTGCAGATATAGACATCCTGGAGCCGTTCAGCCACACATTCAGCCTCATTCATTCCCAAAAAAACCACACTTATCGAAGACACCTTGAGAAGGTCACACCACACGGTGCCCGCAGGCAGGAATGCATGTCTGAATGGCTCGAGGCACACGCTCACCTTACACCCCAGATCAAACGCTTGCAAAGTTCGCTTCAAGACCGATGCAGATTATTTCCAGCAGACACAATGAATGAATTTGAACTCCTAGACATTAAGGGAGGTGGATGAGGAGCCGTGACGATATTGTTTTGTAGCCAAAAACACAGTATGTGTGAAAATAAGGTGTGTATGCCGCTCAGGGAAACACGTTCATGCTCCCAAACCATTCAGTCCATATCAAACGCTCAGGCTTTACTGCTGGCCCTCCTTCTTCTCTCCTGTTTCTCCTCCGGAGCCGGAGCCGGAGCCGGAGCCGCCTTCCCTCTCCGACGCCATCTGACAAACACAAGCACAGTCAATATTACTCCAGTCATCAGGGGACAGACTGCACACAAATAATGTTACAATGCATCAAGTGTACAAAATACAGTATTTCAGGTCAAATTCAGACAATGCTTCTACATAACCTATATGTGACCCTGGAGCACAAAACCAGTCATAAGGGTCAGTTTTTTTTAAATTGCTGAATAAATAAGCTTTCCATTGATGTATGGTTTGTTAGGATAGGACCATATTTGGTCGAGATACAACTATTTGAAAATCTGGAATGCTTTTGTGCTCCAGGGTCACATATGTTTTACTAAACTTCATCACTATTAAATGTCTTTATTATTAATACTACTACCACCACTATTATATTATACAACTGCAATGCTCATCCCAAACAGTCCTTCGGATGAGACGTTAAACAAGGTCCTGACTCTCTGTTAGGGGTGTTGAAATTAACCCATGCATCGTGATGTGGATGATTCTGCATCGATGCAGTGATGGACCATAATCCATTAAAGCCTACTGAGGTCGTTCGCATACGCACTTGTCACGAGAGTATTAAAAAAATGCACCCACTATTTTTAAATCCGAGATCAGGGAACATTTGGGAAAAACCAAGCTTGACAGCGAGTGCATCCACCCGCCGTTATTTCAGTGTTTTACTTTAAATGCTGTTTGGTGTGCAGCGCGTATTAGATGCACGAAACTCACATACTGAGACTTTCACGTTTGCTTTGTGTGTGTTTGTCCTGAAGCTGGATCGCGGCTGCGGTTAATGCATCTCTGAATACTTTAATGATAGGAAATTGATGTAAACACAGTCAGTTATGTTTTCAGAGCAGGACAAAGCATCTGATTTGTGGAAACAGACTGCATTCACACTAATGCACAGATCTATTAAAGCTGCCACTGTCTATGATCTCATCAGTAATAATGCAGAGGGGAAAAAAATTAAAATCCATAACTATGATCGTCTGTAAACTTTCGGACACTCAAAGCACTCTCAAGATACTGAAAGTACTTTTTGTTTATCACTTGTAATTGCCTTTCTCCCCTTTATTACTTTATATTTGCTGGCATGTTTTGAAGCTATATTTATTTGGTTAAGTTCTTAACAAACGTGTTTATTACTAATTTGTAATTATTTTAAAAAGTAGCCTGCTTATATAATTTAATAAAAATGCACAAAATAAATTGGATATAATAGTGATAGAAAAGCGCTATATAAATGTAATGAATTATTAATATTGTTATCAACTGTAATGCTCTTTCAAAACAGTCCACTGTTTGACAGCAAGAGCTCAATGTTTGGATCAATATAAACAACGCAGTGCATTTCTTCCATAATTAAAAGCACATGAAATGTCCTGAAAGCCCGTCAGAAGGCAAAACAGGGCCTTTCGCACCGCTTTAGTTCCAGAACTAAATGTACAGTACTAAAGTACTGGGACGATTTTGCGCGAACTATTTCCCAGTACCATTTAAAGGGTTGCATTCGCACCGAGAGTGTGTACTAAGAAGT